ACGTACACAAGGTGATGAAGTCTTATGGTATGGAGGTGAACCTCCACTCATTATTATAATCTCTGAACTTGAGGTGAGAATTGTAAAGACATTCCCCAAATTTTCATTATCGTCTTGACAGTAATTGTCCTCAGCTAGTTTGGTCCAGTCCAAATTATCGTACTCTGTTTCTCTAAGACTCGTTTTAATAGTATCCTCCCATGTACGCCTAGGTGTTCTAAATGGTCACTAACGCGATTTCGTTTCGCAATTGTAAATCTCGTTTGGCCGGAGTCCATTACCTCATTTACTGAAGCCTCGGGACTGAATTGCATAATAGCGGACGTTTAGTGTCGGGGCAGTCCGTCACGTGACCTGAGTCAGGGACAAGAGTCAGGCACATCCTGTGGGTTGCGGAGAAGTCGCCATAATCATTGTCCGTCCATCGGCCACACTCTTCCGACTGAACTTTTCATGTCCGACGTTTTGCCCGACGGTTTATGTGGAAATTTTCTCGACTGGGACTCCCAGTAGGAAATGACCCGGTTTAAACTCTTGCAGAGAACTGACACACAATCCATTAAAGGACGGCGTATACGAGGTGCGATCGGAAAGTTTCAAGACTGCGCCTATAAAAACCCGTACACTTATCTCAGGTATTAAATTCATCCATCACCCTCGAAGTAGTTCCCCTGGGAGTGAACACAACGATCCCAGCGCCGCTGCCAAGCCTGGAAGCATCCCTGGAAATCTTTCTTTGTCAGCCTGTCAAGCACCATCTGCGATTCTGCCTGAATCTCTTCTATCGTCTCACATCTCCTTCCCTTTAGCTGAATTTTCATCTTTGGGAAGAGGAAGAAGTCACACGGAGCTTAGAAAGGAAGTTGGGGTCGGTTCTTGCAAGATCTTTGAGCTCCTGACAAACGAGAAGTCGATTCTGCTTCTGGTCCTCAGACAGGTTGCGTCGCATGTGGAGTTCTTCCTTTAGAATCAGCTGACAGGTCCCAACAATGTCGCACAAGTCGTTGATGGTACGACGTCGATCTTCGTGAATGGCCTGCCGAATCTTGGTAACATTTTCGGGCGTTGTGCTCGAAGATGGTCGTCCAGAACTCTCGTCATCATCGACAGAGGTTCGGTCATTTTTAAAACGTGAATGCCACACAAAAGTTTGCGGACTCCCCAAATGCTTGCTTTAGCATTTCATAGGTTTCCGTAGCCGTTTTGGCGAGTCTTTGGCCAAATTTGATGCACACGCCATTCCGAAATCGCAGGAGGGGCGGTGTAATGCACTACCAAAACGCCCGTAACTAAGAAACAAATGCTAATTCGATGATGCCGGCTGTCACACTGATTCACTATGAATGTAGGCCGCACACCCTAGCGGCAGAAGCTCGTACTACATCCGGTTCGCCCGTTATTGACACAGTCTTTAAACTTTCCGATCGCACCTCGTATTTCTTAGCGTATAGACGATAAGAAGGAATGGTGGCAAGATATCTTATCCAGAAATGTTCTTGGATTCACACCATTTCAACCTCACATCGTATGTTGAATGTTGAATTGTAGGATAATCTGTGAATTATGAATTGGAAAGGAAAAAGCCTGTCTCGAGGATCTGATTATGAAACAGAGGTGCCAACCATTTAACAGCGACGTTCTGTCAGGAACGTATTGAATAAGGATTAATTTTCTGCTCCGTGTTAGGTTAATGGCGTCGTCTTTCCAGAGAGCGCGTCGCTCCGTCTTTTATGAAAGAGTCTGTTTGGGAGAACTGGACGTAGATGGGATGTTAGTCTACATGTGAGCCTATGGGCCGGTGACGTGTGAATAGCTGTTCACGGAGGATGAAGGTCCAGTTCTGTTGAACCGAGCGAGTTGCAATAGAGACAAATACCTAAATGTCTGGTCGATTTACGTTGCGCGGGATGACACATGATAAGGAAGTGTCTAGAGATGTCTCTATAAATCATAACTCATATGTGTGCCAGTGACTCGCTGTTGGTCCATCGTCTCTCTACTCCGCTCTGCAAAATGGAGCGTGAGATTCTTAGCAGCAAACAATTGACCAGCATCTAGCTTCGTCAGTACAGGCCTCGGCGTAAATCTGAGGATAATATTAATGCAAATAATAAATAAATTAAGGTGTGAAAGTGTGGACTGCTTTCGTCTGGCACGAATAGGACAACAGTGGTAAAGTCTTGTGACAATGGTAATGAACCGTCGTGTACCACAAAAGGCTAAACGTATCTATCTTCAGGGTTGAAGTTTAGTAGCTTCACAACCCAGAAGACAGCCATCTTCATACTCGCCGCCATGAGAAAATATTTCCGCCGTGAAAATCTTTCCTGTCAGTCCGTGGTCTGAGGAAACTGTCTTCATCTTCATGGTACTTCATCTGTCTGCCCCCCGGCGTGAGAGTTTCGTAAGGGGATGATTGCCACTGGACGTAGTCGATCTGTCCTTGTTAACCAGCAACATGTCCTCTCCATATAACGACTTTTAATTCTGAGCTGCCGGATTTATCTGTCCTCCACAGAGGCTCATGCATGTTCTTTTCAGTGGCCTCGCTGCCTCTCTACACACCTCTGGTTTGCAAGAATGCAAGTTTCACAAGTCTGTCTTTGCTATTTCTGTTCTACTGATTAACCATTTTTAGCTGTAATTTTATTTAGTGTTATTCCATTTACTATGTAAATATGTAGGTCCTTCAGCGTGTTTTTATTTTAGGCGTTCTTTACGCTTTAGCGGAAAACACCTTATGGGTCAGTCCATGCTTGTCTGTTGCGTCATGTTATAACAATGACGGATCATATTGTTATAATGACCTTGGATACCATTATTGCATTATGTCCCTTGCCACTTCTTAGAATATTATCTGTAATGCTTGAATTTTATTAACATTTATCAGTTTCCCTTAAAGTTTTACTTCAATATAAAAGTGAACTGTTATTACTTTTCTTTAAAATAATTAATAATAATAATTAATTTATTATCGAATTAAGTGTCCGTGTCCACACAACAAGACGAAAATTTAATTTAAAAATATTTAGATATTAGGATTTTGTTGTACATAATAAAGCAATGATAATATTAGGGATCCTGTATATTCACAAAAAAGTATCACATTATGGCTCTGTCCTGTACATATAAATGTCTTCAGTCCAATTGGAATCGAAGTTGCTTGTCTGTATTTATTAGAATCTGAGGTTCATTTTGTGCGATTTGGCCTATTAACCTCATTCACTGTGGAATGTAATATTGCTGTCAGCAATCTTATCACTGCAACATGTTTCAAATCAAACGTCTTAGGGTAGGGGTTAGTACACATTCTTCGTGATTGAGAGATTCCGTTTTAGAATCTCGGTCTTGATACTGGCTATCCTAATTGGTCTTTATGATCCCTCCAGAAAAATACAGAAACAATTCTTTAAAGAGACCTCGGGCACTTTTTGCAATTACGCGTTAGCAAGTAAGCCTACATTATTTTATTTTTTATTTGAGTGTTCTGTCTGACGACAGGTCCATATGAACAGGATCCTTCCATCCTTTTCTCGGACTGGGACCTGTTCATATACGTTCTTGGCAGATTATCCAGAAGTGGTTTGCCATTGCCTTCTTCTGTGTGTGAATGGAGTAATTGTTGGGATGCCACGGAGAAACCGGGGAAGCCCCCGGAGGAAAACTCCGTGTTGCCTAGACCACGGCCTCGCCCAACACAAGTTATAAATTAGGGCACCGCCGGGAATCGAACCCGAGACCCCAGGATTACAAGGCCAGCGTTCTAACCGCTAGACCACCGTGGCAGTTAAGCCTACATTACCGTTGTTTATTATATCAAATATGCAATTGTAAATCGATTAATCGATCTTTGGCCCGTTATCACCATTCGAGTCATAATAACATACGTAACTGGTGCATGATCGGTTAACCACATACGAATCAGTGTTAATTCGGATTGTGAAACTCTGGCTCAAGAAAGTCGAAGTTTTATGAGTTAATTATAGGTCACACTTGACACGCGATCTGGTGTGGATGGTAGTTCCACGTCCCAGAGGCTGTAATATGTCGTAAAATCAGAATGAACATATCCTACAAGAATTTCCGTTGATAAAACGAGCTATGACGAAAGACAGTCCATTTAATGTCCTTTCCTACGCAGTGTGAGTTTCTGTTTCTTAATGTAGGCCTGCCCGTTGAGATTTGTCCCACGCTTTCCTTTTTACGCCTATTCGAACTGTGTAATTAACTATTGTTATTAATATTAGGCGATTCATTAATTTTAACTCGAATTAATACAATTGGACTGGATTAAACATGTTTCCTAATGTGGTCTATATGATTTTGTTTTTCTCATTGTTTTTCGTCATCAGCTACGATGTCTTATTGTTTATCTAGTCAACAGTGCGCTACATACATTAAAACATTTATATTTTTCACTAAAATAATAAACACCGCGGATGTTATACTTCATAAAGTCACTAAATAATCGCCTTCTTGTTGCGTTATTTTTCCACAAATAAACTTAATTAAATAATGAAGTTGCTTATTCTTTATCTGGCCTCTTTGTTGTTTCCAAAATTTATCACCAAGCGTCGCTACCACGGCGGTAAATAATACAAATATATTTTCGTTTTTATAATCTGAATTAATGATAAATGATAATAGATGAGTGTTTGTTTCTTGCAGTGCGAAAACTTTCTTATATCAGTTAAACAGGTTTAATCCCTTGTCACCTGGTGAGATTTCAGGTTCTTTTGAACATGACACCCTTCTAGGATTGTACGCTATGTAGTCTGGTAGAAGTTTATCTACGTTTCAGAAGTGCTTGCTGCTGCCGTCATCAGGGCTATGAGTGAGGATTGTCAGAACAAGGGTGTCGATGAGGTAACGGGGAGGAGCATGGAAGTAGGCAGGAAATACGTGGAATTACCCTCGGTGATGCTTCGCAGAAGACAAGCATCTTTGTTCTCGTCGGTGTAAGAAACTGAAATCTCTTAGGTTTTTGCAAGGGTTCCCGAGGACTTCCAGGGTGTAGACAGTCACGTACCTCCGCCGTTTTTGTAGCACAGGTAGGGGAACCTCCACACGTTCCCCAGGCCCACGGAGACGCTGATGCATGAGAACAGGAAGTCCAACTTGTTTCCCCATCCGCCTCGCTCCTCGTCACCGTCGCCAGGTGTCTCCTCTGTACCACCAGGTGCAACGGCTACTTGAGAAGAAGGTTCCACGGCTGCTGTGAGGGCCCCGTCGCCCTGCCGTACGAGACGAACTGGCTTCGCCGAGAACTCGATGAACGTCTCGTCAGAGTCCACCGGTTCCTTTTCTTCTCCCCAGTAGTACATCTTTTTCGACATTATCTGCGAAAAGGTGAAGTCACCATGAGTGGGCTACCCTCGTGTATACAAAATGAAATCGTTGATCATGGATTTAGGGTGAGATCTGAGGTTATGACAACGGTGAAGATGTCAATGTTAATATCCTGGCTTCTAACGCCTTTTGGACCTGTAAGCAGATACCAGCGTTTCGGACGAAAATACTACCAGCTTCTTCAGGATGAGTTTGACAATATTTCGTAATGAGCAACGTTATTGTTTGTTCTGGTCAATAGATATTATTAGGATGATCAGATCAACCAAAATGAGATGGTCGGACTATGTAGCACGTAAGAGAAACGAGTGATAGCTACAAAATTTTGTTTGGAACTACTGAACGCAAAATATAAATTTGGAAACCTAGATGTAATTATTTTTCACTAAAATAATAAACACCGCGGATGTTATACTTCATAAAGTCACTAAATAATCGCCTTCTTGTTGCGTTATTTTTCCACAAATAAACTTAATTAAATAATGAAGTTGCTTATTCTTTATCTGGCCTCTTTGTTGTTTCCAAAATTTATCACCAAGCGTCGCTACCACGGCGGTAAATAATACAAATATATTTTCGTTTTTATAATCTGAATTAATGATAAATGATAATAGATGAGTGTTTGTTTCTTGCAGTGCGAAAACTTTCTTATATCAGTTAAACAGGTTTAATCCCTTGTCACCTGGTGAGATTTCAGGTTCTTTTGAACATGACACCCTTCTAGGATTGTACGCTATGTAGTCTGGTAGAAGTTTATCTACGTTTCAGAAGTGCTTGCTGCTGCCGTCATCAGGGCTATGAGTGAGGATTGTCAGAACAAGGGTGTCGATGAGGTAACGGGGAGGAGCATGGAAGTAGGCAGGAAATACGTGGAATTACCCTCGGTGATGCTTCGCAGAAGACAAGCATCTTTGTTCTCGTCGGTGTAAGAAACTGAAATCTCTTAGGTTTTTGCAAGGGTTCCCGAGGACTTCCAGGGTGTAGACAGTCACGTACCTCCGCCGTTTTTGTAGCACAGGTAGGGGAACCTCCACACGTTCCCCAGGCCCACGGAGACGCTGATGCATGAGAACAGGAAGTCCAACTTGTTTCCCCATCCGCCTCGCTCCTCGTCACCGTCGCCAGGTGTCTCCTCTGTACCACCAGGTGCAACGGCTACTTGAGAAGAAGGTTCCACGGCTGCTGTGAGGGCCCCGTCGCCCTGCCGTACGAGACGAACTGGCTTCGCCGAGAACTCGATGAACGTCTCGTCAGAGTCCACCGGTTCCTTTTCTTCTCCCCAGTAGTACATCTTTTTCGACATTATCTGCGAAAAGGTGAAGTCACCATGAGTGGGCTACCCTCGTGTATACAAAATGAAATCGTTGATCATGGATTTAGGGTGAGATCTGAGGTTATGACAACGGTGAAGATGTCAATGTTAATATCCTGGCTTCTAACGCCTTTTGGACCTGTAAGCAGATACCAGCGTTTCGGACGAAAATACTACCAGCTTCTTCAGGATGAGTTTGACAATATTTCGTAATGAGCAACGTTATTGTTTGTTCTGGTCAATAGATATTATTAGGATGATCAGATCAACCAAAATGAGATGGTCGGACTATGTAGCACGTAAGAGAAACGAGTGATAGCTACAAAATTTTGTTTGGAACTACTGAACGCAAAATATAAATTTGGAAACCTAGATGTAATTGGGATGATAATATTAAAACTGATCTTAAGGAATGTGGTACTGTGGACTGGATGCTTCTGGGTCAGGTTAGGGTCTAATGTCGGGCTCTAGTGGGCGTGGAAGTTAAGTTCCGGGTTCATAAAATATGGATATTTTTTTTGATCAACTGAACGACTGTCAGATTCACTGTAAGATTCCGCTCCATTTAATTATTTTATCAACTGCATCATAATACATGTGTATGTTTTGGCCTTACTGTGTAAATCGTCCAGTAAGTAAGGTATTTTCACCTTTCTTCCGGTGACTTTTCTCACAGGGAAGTGAAATTAGTATAGAAAATTGTTACCTTGACTGGGTGTAACGTGCTGCTGGTATATTTTGTAATAAACCACGATAACATTGTTCCTAACACAAATAACAATTATTAGTCCTGTTTTATATAAAGAAAGAAAGAATGAATGAAACGAACATGACGGGAAGGAAAGTGTCAAATATATAACTTAATTGCATTTATATACCCTCTGATAAACATTCCTGCCACACTAATTTCCTCCACAAATGCTAGAAAGTACAGTATCCAAAATCCCGTTTGTAAAATTTGTTAAATAAATTAGTAGGACAAACCACTATCGCACCTTTGTGTCCACTGCTATCAGCTGAGCATCGAAGCCATGGTTTCTAACTGCAACTGCACGCAAAGTGTTACTGGTGTGCATCGACTAAACCAAATTCCTCCATAGTCTTATGTCACCATCATAAGGAACGCATTGGGATTTGCGCATGTCCCAGATCCGCACTGTAGTAATATGTAAATTAATAATAGGTGGGAGGGGCGAAAAGGGGCTTAAGGAAGTGGCACTCGACAGTTGTTATTAGCAGAAAACAAATGCACGGTGGTCCTCTTTGAACAGCTGATTGAAGGATAATATTAGCCCTTTGAAGCCGAAGTTCGTTTAAATACTACATTCAGACCGTACCGCGAAGAAAACACCATACATTACCATTAGAAAGCTCAACTGGTCAGCGTCGTTTAAGGAATTAATCGCTGTTTACTCTGGAAATCATACGAAAGCTTTAAATACTGTTTGTGTGCGAAACGCAGAATTGTTAAAAACAGTCGCTACTCGACTTTCAAAGGTTAAGATGGATCTTAAAGAAATTGGATGTAAGGGTGTGTATTTTATTTTCTGACCAGATACTTACTTACTTAGAATATGTTCATTCCCTTTCTGAATTCTGAGAAAAACTTTATGAAAACTTTGCATTCTTTCGGTGTCTGCCTTCATTTGAAAATAATCGCTCAACTAGTGAAGAAATTGCCTGACGACAGGTTACATGAGGGTCTATTTTCGTGTTCACAGGTACAACCTGCTTTTTAAAGATCCGTTTCAATATCGTCCTCTTGTCTTCCAACTGCTCTGTGTCCTTCAGGTTCTAGGGCCAAGTTTTTCTATGTATGACTTGTCTCTCCATGCGTGCTACATTCCCCATCCATCTCATATTCCTTCACATGCTCATGCTAGTAGTTTCTGGTAGGAGCTCATCATTAAGCTGTTTCCCCAGCCCAGTGATACTACCACCTTTCCAGGTTAAAAGATTCTTTTCTTGTGTAATTTCCTACATGTTAAAGACACATATAAAAGTCCGGGTAAAATTGTAGTTTTGTAAATTTTAATATTTACGATTGTAGATAACAAAACTGGACTGAATAGTAGCGATCATTTGCCGAATGTAATCTGCTCGTAATTCGTTCGTCCAAGTAATTTCGATTTGTTTGTCACTCTTAAATAATTTGACTTTGTCCCGCTTTCGAAACATGTACCTGTTTTAATATTTTTTATTTTCTTTATATTATGATCTTGTCTTGATGACGAAACATGAATACAAGAAAATAAATTTGCAAATTTGTCTCGGGGCCAAATGATAAAGTTCGGTTTGTTGTTTCGACACTCATCGTCATGTTTCTATTTTATATTTTATTATCTTATTAAAATTGTGATTTGACGGAAAATATTAAAATATTTCATCTTTAAGTAATTTTTATTATTACGAATTTATTAAGACATTGTTTCACATACGAATTTCACTCCCGATTAGGCGTGTCACCCCTTGGTCACGTGACATTTTGCCGGTACTTACCGAATACAGTGAATCTGATATTTATAATGCGTTTCATAACCACTGGTCCTGTTTGCATTTTAATAATCAATAACTTGTAAGGTTGGGTTTTGGGGGTTATTTACACTTAGAGCATTACGGCCGTATTTATATTTTAATGACAGATATTGTCCAACATATTAACTTGCCTTTAAGATATACGAATAATATAAAACACATACCTGACTGCGATGTTTGTTTTGCTAGATGTTTGTGGCGGTATAGTTCACAACTGACAGTCTGGCTCCGCACTAGGGCTTCACGGCTATGTCAGCAGAAAGGTAGGGATTGAAGGGGGAATTGCAAATGTGGAAAACACAAGGGTTGGAGGAAAACAGGCTAACAGACGGACAGGTCTGGAACGATAAATAGTGGTAGCAAAGGAGAGGGTAGGTGGTGAATCAATTTTCGCAACCCTTCCCTCTTTTACCCTGCCCCACCGTAACTGTATGCGTAGTATGACGTCATCAAAAGGCGGGACTCGGCGTGAACTGCACTGAACAAGACACGAACTAAGGAGATGAAGAAGGATTTGAATGCAGTACGGAGAGACTGAAGTGCCTCTCAGCAGTCGGGAAAGATATACCTCACGATGGTAAGAGCCTAATTGACAGGAAGCTGTTGTCAGTTTGTTGTTTGGTCGTGCGCTTGAATATGGGGGTATGGACGCGGGTCGATTCTGGTGGCGTCGATCGATGCTAGACTTTGGCTGCCGCAGAGAAGCCACGTGGTATACTGCACTTACATGACGCAACAAAATTGCCGGTATGAAGATTACTGTCTTCTGGGATTATGTTCCTTGTAGTCTGGTCGACGTTTGACGACTTTTCAGAGGTGTTTGTTGCCTGCATCATCAGGGCCGAGTAACCTGTATAGATTTCCTGAATAATATGAAATTCGAACTTGTTCGACTCCATTCGTCATGAAGAACAAACAGACTCTGACTGCTGACAGCCACATAAACTTAGCTCTAACTTTGCTGGCTTCTGAGTTATTATCCCCTTACGTAATGTAAAAATCACTCGTTTGTAGTACGTGCCATGAACCAGTTTTATGACAACGTGAAAACGGAAGGTATAATATGACGTCTCAACTTTTTTTCTCATGTTAATCTACCAAATTTGTTTATAGACACTGAGGATGTGTCGCATGTGGAGTTCTTCCTTTAGAATTAGCTGACAGGTCCCATAGCCTATCCCAGCAATGTCGCACAAGTCGTTGATGGTACGACGTCGATCTTCGTGAATGGCCTGCCGAATCTTCGTAACATTTTCGGGCGTTGTGCTCGAAGATGGTCGTCCAGAACGCTCGTCATCATGGACAGAGGTTCGGCCATTTTTAAAACATGAATGCCACATAAAAGTTTGTGAACTACCCATTGCGGACTCCCCAAATGCTTGCTTTAGCATTTCATAGGTTTCCGTAGCCGTTTTGGCGAGTCTTTGGCAAAATTTGATGCACACGCCATTCCGAAATCGCAGGAGGGTCGGTTTAATGCACTACCAAAACGCCCGTAACTAAGAAACAAATGCTAATTCGATGATGCCGGCTCTCACACTGATTCACTATGAATGTAGGCCACACCCCCTAGCGGCAGAAGCTCGTCCTACTTCCGGTTCGCCCTCTATTGACACAGTCTTGAAACTTTCCGATCGCACCTCATATGTGCCCTTCTACTTCGCAATTGTAGATTCGTCGACGTGTAAGTTCCGTACGGTAAAAAAACCAATGTGTCTTTGTTTGTGTGTGACGTCTCCCTCCACCCCCTCATCAGGATGTTACAGTTTAGCTATAATTTGCATTGTTCTGCCCCTGCTGCCATCTGGAAGTCCAGTTGTGTCACGATATTAATGACTGTCCAATTTATAATTGTGTGAAATATGCAGTTACTTAAAAAGTGCAGGAAATTTCTGTTGCACTGTCAGAATGTTGTGAGATAAAGCGAACCATTTAACTATAGACCTGTTTATAAACTGACTTCATGAAGCAGGGTCTTGGAGAAGTTGATATTGACTAAGTCTGTCAAGAAATTCTGTACCGTGTTCACAGGATCCTTCACACAGCCACTTTAATTCAATCCAAATCCCCTCACACTATTTCTTCAAGATCCATTTTAATATTATACTTCCCATCCACGCCTATTTTAGAGTGCTTCTTTTCTTGAAGTTTTCGAACTAAAATCTTGTATTAATTTCTAATCATTTCCATGCGTGCTACGTGTCTTTCCACGAGCAAAGTCACTCCCAAGCAACCGAAGGAAATCCCACGAGGTGCCGATCATTGCAGAACCTGAGGACACAAATACCAGCTTTCGCCATGTTTTTTCCTACAGTAACTAGCTCCTAAAGTATAAATTTCAAGATGACGTGTAAGATCTCTGGTGTTTTCATAAGGTGTTCAGGTAAACACAGAATATGTAATGTGTATGATATGTAATATTAAGAATATGACCAATAAGTAGCTATTTACAGAACTTTTTACTGTGTTGTTTTTTGAGAGTCACTGCAATAGATATAAAGCAAATCAAAACTGTAACACCCAAAAAAAAATTGTCAGTGGAACCACGGTTCCGGAGAATTTGACGTAAATACAGTTTATATATGGCTTTATTCTTTATTCCTACCAGATACGTAGATTTGTGAATCAAGTTTCTCTTTATATGGTCGTTTCCTAGGTAACAACAATGCCGAGTAAACACGACGTTCCCTAGGTAACCATTGTTATCGGATCTTACACATTTTCCTGTCACTTTTTCGTAACACTTTTTTGCTGAATGACCCTTCCGTATAGACGTATTTACGTCAAAATTAAAATGAAGTATGCTTCCAATTAATTTTTCCCCAGGCTGCAATTTCAACTACTCAACTAGATTACCAGAGTCGGAATTTGTGGGCTAGAATGGTGTTGGACTGATGTAGTAGTTACCCATCTTATCGACTGGTTGACATCTTTGCTGCTTTTTTTCAGAATTAGCCCTGTAGTGCCGCTGCTTTATAGGCATATTCATAGATGGCAGTGAAGTCGAATGTGACGTCACTCAATGCGCGTGATAATGCACAAGGATAAACACATGTGATGCTATCTTGTTTGAAGAGAAGTGTCTTGTATCTGATTGCGGAATTTTAGTCTTTCGTTAGTGCCCATTCATTGCTATTGATCTAACCTCTCAGGCTCAGTAAGAAGTAGGTTGTTGCAGGTAATAAGCATTTGGTATTATCAAATTATCGGTGACAGTAATTAAATATTCTGCAATACAAGTGTGGGCGAAGGAAGACATTTTGAAGTCGGCAGTTAATTAAAACTCTTGATGTCAATGTCTTTTGGGTTATAACGCTGGGTATTATTGTAAGTTTGAACGTTACCAAAACATTAGTAACCTACAAAACTATTGATTATCACCACACAGAAAACAATGGAAGTCTTCACCGCCCACCCAGAACTCCTGTGTTTGGTGCCAAATTGTGTATACGAGACATTCCTGGAAGTGGGTTTATATTTCAAATTGATCTTTGTTTGAATTTCCAAATTGATTATAGCATTTGGGCTTCCTTTGTTGGAGCGCTGTACCAAATGTGTACCTTGGGTATTTCAGTCATCAAGCTTCAATAGTAAGAGTTTGTATTGTGCTGTATATTATGTTATTGCGTGTATTATTCGATCACATAACCCGCACTGGTTCCTTAAAGATGATTTCTTAAACTAGAATCTTCACTTCAATGCATGTGAGGTCATGGCTGTAGGCTACAACAAAAATTAAGAAAAATCTTTGGCAATAAAAGACTGATCTGTACAAAAATTGTAAGATGTTTTCAATGGAGTGTTCTGACAGAGAATAGAATGAGTAGGAAATAAGAGATGTAGAGGACTGTTCCTCTTGAAGAACTGGCAAGCATTGTTTACAAATCCAGATCTTCATACTGGTCACAGGAAGAGTCCCAAATTTAAACTACTGACTACTTTCAGAAATTATATTTCCAACCTTTCTTCAAGTTCCACCATAGCTTCCAATTTCTGGAGATGGTAACTAGATCTACAGAGAATCTGACTATTCTTTCGTCACTTTAACCTTGTACATGGCACAGCATTATTAAATATTGAACAAATCCAGCATATTCTGATTGCCATCTTGCTTTTACTAGCCAGATTCAGTAGCATGGGTTTCAGGTATTTACCTAAACTAGTGTTGTTGGTGGAGCATATGATTATGTAATGTGTGAGAATATAAATTATGCAAATTCAATAAATTTATAATTAGTTTATCATACTTTGATGTTGCATATGTGAAGGTTTTGTCTGATTGAGGTGGTACAGGCCTACATAACAGCAATGAGTAAAGCCGTATCAACAGCACCATCTGCTCCATCGTTTGATGAGCAGTATCTGGTGGGCCATAATATGCCATCTCCTCCTCCAAGCTATGAACAAGCAATGAGACATCCAGAATTTATACCCCTACCAGGCCAGCCAGCAATAGGACCATTTCAACAGCAGAACTGTAAGTAGATTTTATCTGAGTAGTCTAAAGTAATAGTCACCTGTAGGATGAGTGTTGAGTTATGTCATGGTTCCAAACAATTCATCCAAATCTGAAGCCTTGTGCTTTTTTCTTTTCCTGTGAACTGTTACTCTGTCATTGTGACAAGGGAACCACTTGTGTGGAAGTCCGAAGATAAATATATAAGCAAACCATGTTGACAACATGTCTGGTAGAAATTAACCGACATGCCAGATGGCCTTGCTCGAATATTCATTCTGCACCTTTGGATCATCAGTAAGCTTCTACCAGATTGCATGGCCCTGAGAGAGCATCAAAATGAAAATAAAATGTTGAATCAGAGAACCTTATTGAAGTTTGAACTTCATTATGTGCCGTTTCACAATATTATAGAATTTGTTGCAGACATGTGTCCTGGAATTCCGCCGCCTACTGTACAGCAGCCAGTGCCCCCTCCACCACATCCGGCTCCAGTTATTCCTCCACAAATCACGACTGGTAAGTTATAAGTCACTGGAAA